ATAGTAATTTAAAAATCCTTCCTTTTTAATATAAAAATCCTAATAAGTAATCTTATAGTTATTTACACTTACTATAAAAAAACTCTTACTTATTTAAATTAAAATATAACTAAAATAATAGTAATAACTTATTATATAAAGTCTATTAACTATATAAATAAATAAATGCCTTAAAATTATTCTTCCTTTAATTTAAAAAAGGATAACCTTACTTATATAATATATTTTATTTACTTATAATAATTATATATAATAATTAAAAGATTAAGCTAACTTATAAAAGTAATAAACTAAAGCTATATACCTGCTTATTTATATACTTATAATAAATAACCTTTTTATAAATATTACTTAAAACCTATTATTATAAAATTTCCTTTATTAGCTTTTTTTAAATTTTAAAATGCTATTTTATTTATATTTTATAAAATACATATCTGCTTATATAAAAGATATTTAATAAAGCACCTTTATTAACCTACTATTATATATAAATATCTTACTTATAATTAATAGTTAAATATTACTATTTAGTAAATATTATATTCTTAAAGTTATTAATTACTTTTTTAATATAAATTAATATTTAAAAGAAATTTATTTTATATTTATTAATATTTTAAATAATTAAAGTATTAATACTTAAATTAATTATATTATAAATTATTTAAGGCAGTATAAGCTGCTTAATTATATATCTACTATTACTATTAATAATAGCTCTTACTTAAATACTAGCTAGCTAAATACTATTATTTAAAATTAACTTAGCTTTTTAACTTATATTAATATATAATAAATATATTATATAATATATATAATTAATCTTTTAGTAGCTAAAATCTTTAATATATAAAAACTAGTATAGTATAATTTTATAATATTTATTTATATATATACTTTTAATTTAACACTTAATAATAATAAATTAAGGGATAAAAAAAATAAGCTACTTTTTAATAACTTTAGTATTATAAATGCTATTTTTAAGGTACTTATTATATTAATTATATATAATAATTAATTAATTATTTTACTAAGTGTAATACTTAGCTTAGCTTTTTAAGAAAAGTCTTAAATAAGGCGCTAAGTTTTTTTAATTATAATAAAGTAATTTAAGGCTTATGCTATCTTATTATAAAAAGCCCTTATATCTTTTATATAATATACTTATATACTAGAATTTAATAATATTAATACTAATTTATATATAGCTTTTAAAAAATACTATTAACTTTTTTTTATTAAGCCTTTATAATAAATATTAAGCTCTTATAGTAAAGAATTAGTATTAAATTAAATATTTTATTAATATTAATTACTTATTTTTATAAATAATAAATAATATAAGTAATTAATTATATACTACTTTAATAATAACTATTTAATACTTAAAAGTAAGTATATTATACTTTTTAATTATATTAATTAACTTTTAAAATAGTATTAAATCTTTATTAATTATATACTAGTAAAACTTATTAATTTTAGCTATTTACTTTACTTAGGCTAAGCTTAAAAAGTATATTATAATTATATTTAAGGATTAAAATATATATTATATTATATAGCTTTTATACCCTCTTAAAGGTTATACTAATTTTAATATAAAATAGGCTAATACTAGGTACTTAAATTCTATATTAAGAGATTTATAAAATATTTTTAAAGCAGTATTTATTAGCTACTATTACTAATATTATTACTTAATAGTATTAATAGCTAGTGCCTTTAATACTTTTTAAGATACTATTTATATAATATTATTTAGCTTAAATAAGGTATATTTTTATAATAATTATTTATAATAATTACTATTAATATTTAATTACTTTACTAGTTTTAAAATATATTTTAATAAGCAGATTAAATTTACTATAACTTCTTTAATAAAAGTATAGCTATTAAATCTTTTACTTTTATATTTAAGGCTAATTATTATAGCTTATTATAAAAATAAAACTATTTACTAATTCTAGTCCTGCTTTTTTTATATCTTATAGTATATTTACTTAAGTTAAATAGCTTAAGATTTTCTTACTATATAATTAAGCAGCATTTTTTTTAAAAAAGGTTAAAGTATTTATTATTAAATTTACTATTATAATTACTTTTATTTAAATATAAAAATAGTTTAAAAGTAATATAATATTTATCTTTTTAAGTATAAGGATTACTAGTAATAACTTCCCTTTTTTAAATATAAGAATTACCTTAATTAGTAAACTAAAAGGCTATATAATATATAGCTTTTTAAATTAAAAAAGGTATTAAGCTATTTATATATTTTAAAAACTTTAAATCCTTATTTTATTATACTCTTTTAGCTTATAAACTTAATAAAGTAAAAGACTTTTATAATATAAAATATTAATAAGCCTAACTATATATTATCTTTATTTTTTTTAAAAGGTTAAAAAATAAATTCTTTTTATAATAAAAATAAGAATAATAAAAATAAAAGTTATATTTTTATAAACCTTTATTTACCTTAGCTTAGGTTTATAACTCTTAATATCTTAATAAGCTTAAGTTTTTAATTATAAACTTTATTAATAGCTTATTATTTTAGCTACTTATATTAAAAGGTATATATAAAATATTTCTTATAATAAAGCAGTACTTAGCAGTAACTATATTTATTAAGGCATTTTAAAAAGCTAATAGTAAAGGCTTTAAGGCATAATATATAGTATTTATAATTATTTTCTTTATAAAAATATATTTTATAATAATTTATTATAATAATTTATATAACTTTTTTATTTATAAAATTTTATCTTTTTTAATAAATAAGCTGCTTAAAATAGGTATACCTATTAGGCATTGCTTATATATATAGCCTATTTACTACTTAAATAATATTAAGCGCCTAATTTAGGCGCCTAATTTAGGCGCTTATTATTAATACGCCTATTTTTACACTTAAGCCCTGCCTATAGGCCAGCATGCTATACTATACCTAAAAATACCTATAGGTTATTGCAACTTTAGTACTTATGGCGAGATGAAGAGGTTGTCTTGCGTATTGCGTATAGATACCAATAGACCGTATGTCTCGAGTCTCAAGTTTATATCAAAGACGTTCCGAAGTCAATCGCAAGCTGTGAGTCTGCTCTCTCCGTCAATGATGTATGTATCGCCAGTTTCCATGACCAATTCCTGTCCTCCATTGAAACTTGTTGTCTTTATATAGTTGAGCTCCAACTGCCCAAAATGGGCTCACGAGAATTTGCATATCGAATTGGAAAGGCAAAGAATCGACTTTGGCCAAGATGTCTTCAGCATTATCTGTCAGTCTCAATGCCCAAGAAAGGGGATTCTTCGTCATCAACCTGGTCTTCTCACAGCCAGTTTCATCCTCGTCCGAGACAAGTACACCCAAGAATATCTCCAGTCTAGGCTCAAAGAGGTGAAAGCGCAGTCATCAGGCTGCATTAGCGCCAGTTTCTTGCCGACCCACCGACTTTCCCAATTGGGTCACGCCCAGTCAGCAGGAGACATTCAAAGACAGACTGATGACCGTCCATCTCCAGATTCATCTCTTCTCCAATCTGTTCGAATCCTCCTTGGTGTTGCTTCTTCTTGGAGAATTAGACCAACAAGGCTGGATCCTTCCGGCTCTCGTACATTCTTGCTCTAAATTGACTGCAAACGATGGCCACATTTCAGAGATTCCGTCTAGTGCCTTTGCGGGACGAGGTGAGTTTGTCTCCTTGGTGGATCATCCAGGCAGTTCTGGACATGGTTGGCAGAAAGCTGAATCAGGAGTGGCCGACAGAAGCTTGACGAACAGGACGACTGGTCTGGGCTGAAGGATGCTAAGGAGAGGAGAAAGAGACAGAACAGGATCAATCAGCGGGCTGCTCGTGGGCAACTACCCCTTCCCGACCCCCCCTTTTGATTATCATCGTTATCGATTATACTCGTATACGGGATTATCGAAGTCACTAACTCGGCATATCAAATACAGGCCGTCGGCAAAGGTTGAACCTTGTCCAGGAACACGAATCGGACTCAAAGGCCGCATTACCGCGGCCTAGCGCACCAGTTGCTGCCCCAGGCCAACGGCAGAAACCCACATATCCTTCTCATCAAGTCTACTTCCCTCTTTCCCCCGACCACAAGCTGCTCTACGTCATTGTCCTCAACGTTTCCCGGGCCATAATCACCAACTACTTCATTCTATGTAGCATGACTCCTCTAGCGGCTAGCATGTGCGACAGCCGCCGTGTCTTTGCGCTGAGCGACCTCGCCCTGGCACCTCGGAACCTAGATGGCACCCCTGCTGTCCCTCCGTCGTTTATGCCAACGGAGCTGCAGCAGGTGGCTCCTCATCCCGGCTGGATCGACCTTCTTCCGTCACCTCAGCTGCGGGACAACCTCATCTTGGCGATAGAGGAATTCAACATCAACGAAGAGGACTTGTTATACGACTTGATTGGGGACATCTTTGCAAGCATAGGTTGTGTGTACGATGACGATTCGGAGTCGTCGAATAGCGGGTCGGAAGATGACAAGGAGGCCGCTGAAAGACCATTGGGGTTGACCCCAGAGCAAGAGTATACCTTGAGGACTTACACCCCCTCGAGCTCTGCCGAAACCGGCATTTTGTCATGGTCGGATCCCTGGGAGATAACGGGCTGGGAGTTTACGGAGAAGTTCGTCACTAAATGGGGATTTTTGCTCCATGGGTGTCCTGATGTTGTGGCTGCTGCCAATAACTGGAGGGCTATGCGAGGAGAGGATCCTCTCGTCGTGGAGCTCTAGGTATGTATGATGAAGCTGGAATTTGTGGGTTGGCCGGGTGCCAGGAGGCTCCTGCGGACTGTGAGTTTTCGACGGCAATCAGGTGTTTATGAGGAATGTGTAGACGTGATATGAAATGAGCGGGACTTGAAACGGACAACAGCAACGAGAGGGCTTTCTCATCTTCTTTGCTTTCTTTATAGGTATATATGTATATCATTAGCGCTTTGAAAACATACTAGGTAGGCTTGGAACTCCTTCATCATAGCAAAATTGAACTCGCGACGTTGACCTCTATACTTGCCAGTTAATACCTCTGATACATCTCCTGTCATCTACGTACAGCCATTTCTCATGACTAGCAAAAAGCTCCGCAAGTGCGGCAAAAAAGGATGCCCACTATCAGAGTCGAACTGATCACCTTGTCATGTCAAGTATTTACTAGTGACACGCTATACCGCTTAGCCAAGCGGGCTCTGGGATTAAGCTCGTAAGAGCTCTTGGAAAAGCAAGATTTAATGCAAACCTATAAAGCTTTTTCCCACCATATGGCTCCATATCTCGTCGGATTCCCATGTAGCAAACCTCAGCCTGTCACAAGTACTGATCTGCAAAGGCCCTCTGAAAGCGGGGCAAGACGAACGACAAAAGCACCTGGCAAGCGGGCGCAAAGCACGCACATCATCGTTTGAATCGGGAGCGGTCCGAGGAGACGCCAATGGCTCTAGGACATGGGATTGTTCCGGTGCCACGCCAATGGTATCGTATCACGGCGAACCCACATCTTCCCACGCTTCTGGCGGTTCTTTGCATAGGTACATGCACTGCACGTGTTTCAATAAACTGCTGATGGCAGCTTTCCTGATCGACGCCGGCACTTGCTGTTGTGCATCGAAAGACTCTTCTGCGGGCACCAATGATGGATGATGCTGGTGAAGTGCAAGCTTGAAGTGGTTGCGGCTATTTTTGGTCATGCCTGTTGAGCATGATGGAGTGATGCCGGCTTTTAGAATCCGGTGTAAACATGGTCATTGGTCGTCTTAGAAACAATGCAGCATCCAACACCACCGGGTCTCCAATTATCACACGAAATGTTAGAGAAGAGAAGGTTGGAGTGAAGCTTCAAGTTCGAAAGTGGACTGAAGACGACTCGGGCAGCCTTGCCAATTCCGGACTGGACGGCTTTGGACCCTTTTCACATGTCGTTCCGCTCCGTCTTCTTTGTCGTCTGTCGTTTGGAGATGCTGTTTCACCGAATGCTGTTGAGTCGACAACACATGTGTGTAACGGAGTGCAAGCGACGAGTGTCAACTTACACGACCTCTACCTATCAATTCCTCTGACACATCACATGATTGCTGGCGGATGCCTGACCACTTTCGTCTCGGGCATTGTCTTTCTTGAGACGTCGAGAATTAGCGCAGACTCGGCTGGCCTCGGAGGTTTGAGTAGCTCCGATGCAGGGTCCAGAGAGATTTTTCACAGATCTAGACTCTTTTTTTTGGTGGCCGAGCAAGCACCAGAATTCCCAGTTACACAGACGGCAGAGCCATTTGACAGCGGCCGAGTCCGTACAGGTACAAGAGGAAAGGCCTTTTGCGCTTGCATTTCTTACAGTAATCTCGACGGAAATGCTCTCAGCTGTTCTTTCCAGGGCTGGCGATTACCGTTACAAATCCAAATCCGGTCTAACTCAAAGCAAGAGCCAAGTGAAAAATATCGATAGTAATGGTAGCAGTCATGGAAACCACGACTGCGCGATGGCTCTTTCTCTCTCGCTGGTCCTTGGCCAAATCTAGGTACCTATGGAATGAATCATGACTCTCCTCGATCTGTCTCCCGCAATTCTCTCTTCTATCACTTCTCTCTCGTTCTGACGAGAAGAGTGGTTGCACCGAACAAGTGCTGCCGTTCAACCAGCATTTCCCCTAGGAGCAAACAAATTGCGTGATCAACCCTATCAAAGCTACTACTCTATTATTATCATTCTCTCTTTCCTTGGAACTTTTTGCCAGCGGTTATTGGAATCGCTGCTCTTTATTATCTTCTTTTGCCTTTCCTACCTGACCTGATCGTCCACGGAAGAGCTGAAGAAACAAGGGAGAAACAGCGAGGTATCGAGAGAAAATCTCACTAGCAGCCCGCGACGCTCGCAAAAATGCAGCCTCTCGCACCTCTCGCACCAGAAACCGATGGAGATCAGGCCACCCAGCAAGTCCCCTTCCGCTCCGTCTCCAAGCATACGCATCACACTTGGGCGCGCACCTTTTCTTGCATCGCAGATGTCTATGTGCAGCCCCAGTCGCTGGCCGAGATTGAGAATGTGGTCAATCTTGCGCACAGATATCGCAAGCGGGTCGTGACGGTGGGATGCGGGCACTCGCCCTCCAACATCGCCCTCACCTCGAGCTGGCTGGTCAACTTGGACAAGTACAACAAGATTCTCTCCCTCGACCCTGAGACCGGCGTCGTGGTGATGCAAAGCGGCATCCGCCTGTACACACTGTGTGAGGAACTGGAGCGTCACGGCTGGGCCATGCCAAACCTCGGCAGCATCAACCAGCAGTCCATTGCTGGCGCCATATCAACAGGAACCCACGGCAGCAGTGTCCGGCATGGCCTCATGTCTGAGGACGTCCTCTCTCTCAAGATCACCCTTGCCAATGGCACCACCCAGGAGTGCTCGAGAGACGCAAACTCTGACCTCTTCCAGGCTGCGCTGCTCTCACTCGGCTCACTGGGCATCATTTCGGAAATCACTTTCCAGGCCGTCCGAGCCTTTGATCTTCGGTGGAAGCAGACCATCGATTCCGACCTGAAAGTCTTCAACTCATGGTCGAAAGATCTGTGGACTCAGAGCGAGTTCGTCCGGGTCTGGTGGTTCCCTTATACACGCCGGGCGGTGGTCTGGCAGGCTGATCAGACAGACGAGGCGCACCGTGAGCCTCCAGTGAGCTACTATGATGGAGCCCTCGGCTACTACGTCTACCACAACCTGCTCTACCTCGCACAGTCGTTTCCACGCATTCTCCCCTGGGTCGAGTGGTTTGTATTCGGCATGCAGTATGGGTTCGCCAACGGTTCCACCACGAGTGCCGTCCAGCCGAGTCGCAAAGCGTTGTTGATGAACTGCCTCTACTCTCAGTTTGTTAACGAATGGGCTATTCCCCTGCACAAGGGGCCAGAGGCGCTCCGCAGACTGAGCTCGTGGCTCAACCAACTTTCTCCTAGCGATCCGGACTATGTGCCACACAACATCCCTTTCTCCGCCGAGGGCCTCTATGTCCACGCACCAGTTGAGGTTCGCGTCAGTGATACAACTCTGACTTCAAACGCCCGGCCTCTGCTTGACCCGACTGTCAAGGACGGCCCGACATTGTACCTCAACGCCACTCTGTATCGCCCTTACCTGCGTGATCCACCCTGCCGGGAACGTTACTATCAAGCTTTTGAATGGCTGATGAAAGACATGGGCGGCAGACCGCATTGGGCCAAGAACTTTGAAGCTTATCGCCCGGAAATCGAACTCATGTATGGCGACGACCTCGACAAGTTCAGACAGATCCGAGATGCTGTCGATCCAGAAGGCATGTTCCTAGGCCCTTGGCACAGAGCCCGCATTCTTGCGGAGGATGCCCGATATGAGCTCGAGGAGGTTGAAGTTGAAAGAACAAAGTCTGTTAAGAATGGTATTACAGTGTTTGGAAAAGTTTGAACGACATGGTGGCCCCCTATTCAGTTCGTACCTGGAGGCAACAACACTTTTGCATGGACCTTTGGAGCAATTATTGTTAGCGTTCATTTGCATAGCCAGATTATAGACATGGGCGGCAGTTGTTCTTTGGCTGATGTATGTTTTCCTTTGGGCCGAAACCATGATTGTAGGAAGACGTGATCGAGCAGGCTTGGAAAAAGACCCTTTTATGATTGGCATACCCCTGGCGCTTGGTTTTGCCTTGAGGTTGATGGGTTTTCATCCTTACAAGCCAGGCAACACGCTTGTTAGGAGTTCAATCATCATTGCCTAACATTTGCATCCTCGCGGTGTTCCTGGAGAAGATATCCGAAGAGCGCCGGTTGGACAACTTTGGTATACAGAGTCTGCAAGGGCTCCCTCCTGTTCTTCTCACATGGCCAGAAAGCCTTGTCTTATATACCTAGTAAAACACGCATCTTTTAATCAAGGGATTATCCTATCGCCAGCGCCAGTTGATGCTTGTATAACGGTGGTCCGTTCTTCTTCTTCCTTTGTCAGCTCAGATTGCTCTTCGTCGACCTACCTATCTGTGATACTGTCTTGGTTTCTCCCTTGCCTATTAACTATGTGTATTTCTGCTCTTGGGTAAGGTACGCTTGATGGCACGTCATTGATCCCTTCGGCGTAGCGGTTTTGATCATATATGCCTGTCTACGCACGGAGTACACCTTGACTGACAGGTACTTAAGGTAGGATCTTGTTTAGTACTTCATACAGGGCTGGCCTATCATACCTAGGTAAGGTAGGGTAGATTGGCAGGAAGTGAGGGGGGGGGGGCTGTCTCTTTTTTTGGACGCTTTAGCTGCTTACTGTGGTTTGCCGTAATAGGCACGAATGCGCGCTGCTTTTTGCTTCTCTGTGTCGATGTCCTTGATCTTTGGATTGAGGTGGCCCTGGCCTTGAGGAAAAGGGCAGATACATACTTGACTGCTCTGTATCTCGGCTACAATTCTCCCGAATGTTTCTCCCTCCTGGTTTGTGCTTTGGTTTCCTTTTTTTTTTTTTTTTTTTTTTTTTTTGGATTCTTGTTTCATCGAGTTGATTCGCTTGGAGTGATATATGCGAGTCTGAGCATCAGGGAGCACGTCAATAGGTCATCCAACCCACATAATGGCGAACTAATAGACAATATCCTCGCGATATCCTCGCTGGCGCGGAGAAACTTCCCGGATAGACAGACAACCAGACAGGAGGGGTTAGGTGAGGGGGAGCGATATAGACGGAGGACGTAGTATCTTGAATGTGCTGTCACTCATTGAATGTTGGGGGTTCGGAACGGATATTATTCCCTTGGCTGCGTCTCTTATTTCCTTTCCGTAACCCATGCTTTTGCTTGTAACATGCATGTATGTACCATTCTGTACGGACTGCGCCTCGGACCGGGCACATGCAGCAATGAGACGTAGTATTTTTGGGCTGACACATTGCAGGTATGTGAATCCTTCCTGGAGACGCAATGCATGGCCATGACGGACGCTGATATAGAAGCAGGTAGATAATCATTGGAAAGGTGTAATGGTACCCTAGGTTTGAAGAGCCAAGGGCAAAATTAACTCCCCGTTTGTCATTCTGTTCGTGTCCTTGCCATCGCCATCGCCTGGAGAAGGAGTCGACAGTCGGCATGTGTCAAACAGACAAAAACCCATTTTTGGCGTACCGGCCAAAGCTGGCGATAAGTCCGTATGTGTACGGAAGCATTTACACACCTGGCAATGTTGGCTGCCGGATATCGGAACTTCTCCGAGGTTGGACCCCAACCTTCAGCCCAGCCCTTCTCTCTTCGTGCTCTTCGTTGCTGCCCGCCAGATTACTGATACTGACGCTCGGATATCAGAAAGCGTGCGTATCTGCAGATCCATCGAAGCAATACGTACTGGCATGTCTACTCGCAAGATTGTGGTGCTTCCTAGCTTTGACGACTCACACTGTTAGAAAAAGAGTACGTCGGCCTTGTGAGAACTGATACACCTCGTGTAAATGTTGTATCTCGATTTTCGCGGCGGAACCTCGTTTGGACCAGGGTCCGGCAAAAAGTCAAGTCCTACTATGTAGTAGTCTGTACGCGGCAGAGCCTAAACGTCTATGCAGTGCCTCGTGATACGAGCCCTACGTGCTCAGGACTGTGGGGGTACAAGGGAAAGGGACGAGTACTGAGCGATGGTTAGGATTCCATTCCCATCAGCGCTTGCAAGTCGGCGAAGTTGCCGTCTGCTGCAGTTCGCCCGTATCAGGGTTATTCGCGCGGGTAGTCGGGCAAAGATGGATAACGGGGCTTCGTCCAGAAGCGAGGATGCTCTGATACTCCGTTTCATCTAAAGCGTTCCACCTGATAGGATAATTGAAACTGCCATTGAGTTCGAATAGAGAGCCCCGGTGCTCGACAGGACCAAGGATGGCGGGTTTTGTCCCTTATACGACCACGTTCGTAATCCCGTTAGAAACCGGTGAATTGGGAGCTGGACATCTGAGATAGCCGCGAATAGTCAAAAAGAGTGTTAGGCATGTCCGACGAGAAGCAATTGTGACACTCTCGTGCTATGCTTATATGTAAGAGTTGCATGCATCGATTCGATAGTAGATTGTAGATTGACCAGGCAGGAAACAAGACAGGAATGTTCTCGTTGATGTTTGCTTAGAGTCTTCCGGAAAGTTGTCCGCTCGAGTCGGCGTAGCAGTGGGATAGCGTCAAACCCTTCTGCAGCTTTTCGAAACTTATGTTGCATTGGGGTTTGCGTGACGGAGTCCGTGATGCAGTTAGACACCGGAGTGGTAGCAGATATGGAGAGGGGCAGGCTGGAACCGTAACGGCGAAACGATACGAAGCCCACCCCCCCTGTGACAGAACTGCAGTCGTCGACTTGATTAACCACAGCCCACCAATCCAGCCTCTGGAGAGCAAGATGCATTTTCAAGACGTCCATGCCAAGGTAGGCTACAGATGACGCATATTCGGGGGAACAATCTGGGTGAGGGGCCGGGCCTCGTTTGATTGCTTTTGCCCAGCCTGTGGTTCGCTGCACCGTTGCGGGATCGACAACGCCAGACGTTCATGTGGGATGATGCCGGGTAGATTGAATTGACCGTACTGTAAACCACTCCAAGTAGGTGACTATATTTGTCCACATCCTTTGACAGCCAGCTAGGAGATATCGCTAGCCATTCCCCAACCACTCAGGTGCGGGATGGGTGCATGGGTAGCCGGTGTCGTGTCGATGATCGTGAGTGAAGTTGTAGGGCAGACCGGTGTGAGTGTTGACCGACCTCAACCGCCCCCATGTTCATGATTGGTATTAGTGATAAAATCCCAAACCCGAACTTTGTACGGAGTACGAGGCGCATCGTAATCAGGCGTGAAAAGCTGTTCTTCCTTGGGATGGCGTCCACATCTCAAGGGGCGTCGTCAAGTCGCCATCGGAGTCAGTGGAGCTTTGAATGTGGCCCATCTACCACAACCCTCCTGTCAGTAGTGAAATTGAACGTCTTACAGTGGAGATATTGAACAAAATTCCCGGTGGAAGATATCATCCATGCAACACTGTAGATCACAAAAGCGTGAGCCAAGGAAGAGGACGCTATTGCCACTTGACCCGGGTCTCGACCGTCGCGGCTGTGGCTCCGGCTCTGCCCAGAGTTGGGCGTCAGTAAGCACGAAATGGGACGCCTTATCCCCGCCTCGACACTTGTCCTGCCCTGATCCGAACCCCCGGATCGTGATGTTGGTTTGCTGGCCATGCAGTTCTAACGGTCTGTGTTCGCTATCGAATTGTTGCCAGTACTCTTACTGGAAGGCCGTGGGTGGTCGAAACCCGGATACTTCAGTTGTGTCTGTTTGTTAGCTCTGTGCTGCTTCGGGCAGCAAGATTGTCCTCAACCGCCTGATATCAGTCACAAGTGCAACGAAGAGAGTCGTACTCATACCCTGTCTGTCTAGCTGCGTCGAAAGAGTGCTTGGATCTCCAGAGGCTGGGTCACGATCTCAGGGGCTGAACCTGGTGCATGTCTACCGTGTACGAGTAAGGTCTGTCTACATAGTATGTATGAAGGAGTAAGCAGGGTCAGGTTGCAACGGCTCGTGAGTCGAAATCGCGCGCTTGGATCTTCAGAGGCGGCAGGTGCCTTGTCTCGTTCAGAGCCTTTTCCATAAAGTTGCGTGCCGGTACTTTGTGACAGGCATCTTGCTCTGCTCATCGACTGGGAAACTCGTGGTGTATGCCTGATTCTGCGTTGTCAACCAGCTGCTCTGGCGTGTCATCCAATGTAGCAACGAAGGTGTACCCCAGGTACATACTACTACTGTAGTAAACATTGCCGCCCCTGCAACTGCCGCAGGGATCCTTTGCTAGACGAAGGCCTCGCGGTTAAAATTAACCTCAAGAGACGTGGGAGACCTGTCCAGCAGCACGGGACGGCCTGCCAGGTGGCTTGCCTTAGTGCTCTCTCTTCAACAGGGGCCCTGCCGCTCCACGCGGAACAGCGTTGCCGGTGTAGATGGTAGTGGTGGTGCCAAGCAGCGCGGTGCAAGTAGGCACTGGAGCTTTCGAGGCCGCTTGTCGCGCATTGTCGCCCCGGGCTGTCTGCGATAGTTGGGCTTGGGAGGTTGAGGTTTGTGCGCAGTCAGCGAGACGCTCTCGATGCCAAGTGCTACGACAGGGCTCAGGAAGATATTGAAGATGAGAGAAGGTACCTTAGGTAGGCCGTCTTGGTAGGTCCTTAGTACTTACTCCCTCATACTAAATTAGCCTTCTTGTTCACCTCGTAAACTGCAGGTGCTCTCGGAGTGTCATGGCAGTTTAGAACCTGCAAGGCACTCGATACCTTACTCGTGCAATGTACAGACCAAGTATTTCCCCTGTATGAATTGTCGAACAGCTACGAACAAAGTACTTATACGACGCATGCTGGGAGATAAGGTGGGAGGCGGCAAGTGGGTAATATGTCAGGTGTGAGTCCGGGGAAGGAAGCACTGAACAAGTTGACGGCAGCCTTATCTGCCAGCTCTGATATTGGATTCCATCCCTTGGGCAAGTCCAGGCTTTCGGCACTGCAGGGCAATGGCAGCCAAGAGTGACCATACAAGGCAGCTTCCGCGACACCGTTTGCTGTGTCCGGACCGCCCTTCATGGATCAAGGTAACTGAATGTATTCCATTTGCACAAGAAGAGACCTTATCGTACGGTACCTTACCTAAGGTAGATGTACCTAAGGCACGCTCATACTACCTACATGTAGTTATTGAGCGCACATGTCCTCATCCTCAACATGAATCGCACCTTTCGCTGCTGACCTTGCCTGGTATCTAATGTTTCATGGCTTCGTTCCTTATCGGCTTATTGCCTCAGTAGATTGCAATTTGCCGACGTCCAGAGCAAAGTCAGGGACTCGACTCGCCACAGCCTCGATGCTAATGACATATGAAACATAGGAACGTCGTGCCCTCCGGTTGGCTTGATCTATGCTGCTGACAGGCCGTGCCGGGGCTAGCGAGGTCATCATCGGCTCAAGTGCCTCCAGGATTGGCGACTGGCCGCTACACCTCCAGTCAACAAGTGTTTGGCTATGGGTGAGGAGGGATTGGCTATAAGGCGATGCCACTACCTTAGCTGTTGGCCATCCGGCACCCACTGCTAGTGGCCAAATGCCAGATGTTGTTAGAGGGGGCAGATGTGCGTGAAGTGCGCAGCAGGAGCGCTGTTATGGGTTAGTAGGGAATTTCACCCCTTTTGGCATCCAGTGAGAAAACCACTGGGAGGCACTTAAGGACCACCCACCTTCTATGATCCCATGGATGTGACAAGGTGGCCTCGAGATGGATGGACAACATCAAGCCTCAACGTGACGCCCACTCCAACTTCCATCGTGCTTTGATAGGGAGCGAAACAGGCTGAAATCTGTGGTGTCCTTGTATGTGCGTGTATATAGGACGAAGATGCACCTGAGGTTGGAGACTGCGTTTGATCATGCTTTTGACGGAGTATCCGGAGCAAGCCTCAACTGAACCGAGCAAACCTTTGGCATCATCGAGAATACTTACAAGTGCTTCCAGATCATAATCCTGAGATTCCAAAAGATGACTTACTAAAACCTCCTTAGTTGCCCCAGTGGCAGCCGTGACCGCTTGGGCATGATGCCACTGCGTGCTCAGCCTGTCCGCGCCGTCTCCGCCCCGGCCCTGTTCCGGTGCCCAGCTACATAGGTATCTATAGCAACATGTATATTGTCATGATGCACGTCGTTTGGTATATTATCTATGTGGTTGCATGTCCAGAACCTGGTGTCTCGGATCGAGAGACATGAACCAAGTAGATGTGCATCAAGCAGACTACCTTCGGCCGCTGCCTTAGGTCTCCAAGGCCGATACCCGTTGCGTAAGGCCGTCAGGCTGTCAAGACGGCAAGCTTACCCGGACCGTTGACTACCTAGGTATTTATATGCGTCTCAATGCTCATTGTCGGGTTACGAGACATGCGAGGAAGAAAGGGGGTAGAGGGGTGGAGGAATATGAACCTTGAAGACAACATGCTTCGGCTTGGCGATGAGCTCTCGCCTTCCCCGCATCCATTCGCAGCGGCTTTTCTAATCTCCAAGCTGTTCTAGGTACTTCCCGTGTAGCAATCCAAGTACCTATGTATTACACTTGAATTTCACTGTCACCTGTGAGCAGGTAAATACATGTATCTGCGACCAGTTTGTTGGGCGACTCACTGTGCCCAGACTTGACACTGGCCCACCTTACTTTCTACCCACATGGAGTACCTATGTGCATATGGCTAGGTAGGTACACTTCTAACAGATTGCAGTCTCTGCGCAGATATCGTGTATACATTATGTAGCCACCCATGCATACCGCGAGCAGACACACATTTACATACCCTCTCATGCATGGTGATGGCTTCACTTTCACCACCTACAGGCAGCTTCTGAGACCAAAGGCGCACCAACGGACCGAGATATCCATGTGCTCGGGACAACCGCTTTATCGTCAACGGCCCCAGCTCCGTTTTCGCGGTTTCAACCCCCACAAACAAGCGCCATCCTGGGGTATCTGTAGCGGCGCACGCTAGGCGGTTAGTGGCGCGCCTGCAGGCTCCAGTTTCGCCCACAGCAATTGACTGCTGGGCTGCTGAAGTATAGACCAGGTACCTACATGTACGTAGCGGGCGGAGCAGGGAACGCAGATTGAAGTGAGTACTGTCATTCTGGCAGCGGGTTGAAAGACGTGTCTATCTAGGTACCTAAGCTTCCAGGTCCATGTAAGGTATTGTGCTTGTCCATTATCTACATATTTACGAACTGACGTGTAATATGTCGAGTATCGGCACGGGGCAACTGCTGCCTGTATGTGCATGCATGTACGTGCTCACATGGGCCCTACAGCCGCAGCCTGTTGCAGACGCACAGCTTGTGCTTTAGAGGAGGCGAACTCCATCCATCCCATCTGTCCGATCTGGCTCAAGTCAAGTCCGAACTCGCCCAACGACGGGCTGGGCGCCGCTGCTATTAGTGGGTTTCTATTACACGATTGTCCAAGCAAAAGACACCATATCTGTAATGAGGCCCCGACTGCTTTGATATTGGAGCCTGTAAGGGATCTTACCGTCCGCTTTGGCCCGCCTCTCCGGTACGGCAAAGATACTCCCTACCTACTGGCCCCTACAGCATTGACCCAGGTACTGGGTAGGTAAGGAATACATGGAGTATTGCACACTACCTACCTAGGTATCTAGTACTAGGCACCTCCTACCTGTATGGACCTCTAGAAGAGGCTACTGAACTTTGCGGCCGCCCACGAGGCTTGCCCATTGATTCAAGCCTGCCCAGCTCGTGGCTCAAGAAACGGAAGAGAGAGCTCCGCAGTATCGTCAACCGAGTCCGGCATAGGTACCTACCTTGGTGCTTCCTCGCGTACCAATTGCTGTATCTGTAGGTACTTATCTTGGTGAGGAACCTGTATGCAACCACTGCAAGTTTTTGGTACCTTACCTGAAGATTCCTGCTTCGTCCGAATACGGCTCTGCTCGGCGCTTCTTGCAGGGCTTCGTGCGTAGTACATGTAGGAGGTAGGTAGGTAGGTAGGTAGGTAGTAGGTAGATTCATGTTCCCCAGCTGGCGACCCCGGCCAAGCCAGGCCAGGCGTCGCGTCAGCACCGGTGCCAACCTTGAAGTAACCCCCTCGGTAGCGGTACCACAGGGCGACCTTACCGATACGCGGCAAGTACGGAGAGCCTGCTGACCCACGCCTTCAAGTTGTGGCTCCTCGATCCGCCTGCCCTGTCTTGCCTGTCCCACCTTCCCAACCTTGCGCAGCTTGGCCTGGCTTCATCTGCCAGCTCAGTTCCTTCTCTCTGTGAGAATCCCCAGCAAATAGTACCTACCTAGTACAAGTAAGAAAGCAGCGTCTTCTTTTTTTTTTTTTTTTCCTTTTCGGCGTCTCCAAACTGCTCTCTTACACATCTTTCTTATCCCACCCTTTATCCCACACCTTCTCAAGTCTTGCCGTCAGCTTCACCTCTATTTTCTCTCTCTCTCACACTCTCTCTTCCTTTCTCCCCTCTCGCTCCTCTTCACGATATCCCGCTGAAACCTCAGCCCAGGTCTGTCTTGTCAAGACTCGCCACCCATCATCTCGGGCTCTGGCTGCTGGAGAGTCAATCCGCCCTGAAGCTCCCGGCAGCCCAGTATTCCAACTGTGTGCGCCCAGCTGCGGCAGCGCCTTCTCCCCCCCCTGGTTGCAGATACGGCTCTGTTGTTGTTGTATCACAGAGCACTAAGGCCGTGAAATGACCAGCAATTGGCCCTTCGATCTGCTGCTTGCTCCCGTTTCCAATCATAGGGACTCACTTGTTCTCTTTGGCCTGTAGGCGACATCCCGAGCGTGTCGGACGGCCGGGCCGGCATGCATCGCCAGTTCCGCAACTCCCATCGCCAGAACGTCGACCAAGCGCCACAACTATTTGCCCAACAAGAGCCTCCTGAAAGCGGGCCACGGCGGGTGCCCTCCGACGACATGATGGGTGCTAATCCTCACTTCAGTGATTTCAACTTCCCCTTCTCCGCCATGCCCGACCTCCACATGCCTGAACAGCCTGCCATCAATAACAACCAGGCGGTTCCATTTTCACAGCAACAGCCCGCCGCCATCGGCCCAGTCCCGTCCCCGCATACCGTGAACGCCATGAACGGCATCACGAGGCAGTCGTTCGTACCGATGCACGACCAGCAGATGCCGAGCGTAGAGCTGGCCAACGGCTCAATGGCGAGAAAAACGACCCCTGCGTCCAACTCGATGACCGATGACGGGAATGACGACTTCGGCCTTCTGAATCAGAATCGCGGAGACGGTACAGACTTGGGGGGCAAAACGAAAAGCGACCCGTCCGCAGCACCTCCGGCCTGGAGTGAGCTCAAAACCAAGGCTGGCAAGGACCGGAAACGCTTGCCGCTCGCCTGCATTGCCTGTCGGCGTAAGAAGATACGTTGCTCTGGCGAAAAGCCTGCCTGCAAACATTGCATGAGATCACGCATCCCCTGCGTATACAAGGTCACCACTCGAAAAGCCGCCCCTCGCACCGACTACATGGCCATGCTCGACAAGCGACTCAAGCGCATGGAAGAGCGTATCATCAAGATATTACCGAAAGCCGAACAAGATACAATATCGTCCATCCCCCGAGCCGTGGTCAAGCCCGCCATCCCCGGAACCGGCACATTGGCGTCAGGCAAGGCTTCTGCCAAGAAGCGCAATGTTGACGAAGCCTTCGGCCGAGATCTCGAGGCTTGGGCCAAAGCACCTAGACCCAAGCTGCCGGAAGACAATGTGGCCGACACGCCAGAATCTCGCGAAGCCGCCGAGAACGAGCTGCTGCGCGAGGGCCGAGAGGCTCTTCCCCCTAAAGACGTCCAGGAGCACCTTGCCGAGGTCTTCTTCGATAACGTCTATGGCCAATGTTACCATCTCCTCCATAAACCGAGCTATATGCGCAAACTAAAGTACGACACGTTCACGGGGCAATGCCGCACGCCGCCTCCCCCCGGGTCTTTGCACCCGACTTTTGAATAATGACAACAGCTAATTTTGGCTTGATAGGAATGATACCCTTCCGCCAGTGCTCGTCCTCTCTGTGTGCGCCATTGCAGCGCGCTTCACCTCGAGCCCAAAGTTCAACTCGGCCACCAAGCAGTTTATGCGAGGAGAGGAATGGGCTTCTCATGCTAGGGAAATCTGCACCAAGAGGTACGACTGGCCAAATATCACGATACTGACTTGTCTCCTCATCTTGGGAATGCACGAATTCGGGACATGTCACGGCGGTCGCGCCTGGGCCCTTGGCGGGCAGGCTATCCGAATGGCCTTTGCTCTCCACTTGCACAGAGACCTGGAGTATGATCCTCAGTCGCGGAACAAGAAGATCAAGCTGAGCTTCATCGACCGCGAAATCCGTCGCCGTGTCATGTGGGCCTGTTTTATCATGGATCGATTCAACTCGTCTGGGACAGACCGCCCTGTTTTCATCAAAGAAGAGTCCATCAAGATACCTTTACCCGTCGCCGAGAAGTACTTCCAGTTCGACATACCGGTGCGCACCGAATATCTCGACGGCAGCCTCCCCCCGGCTTGTGAGACAACTCAACAAGGCCATCTGGACACTCCTCGCGACAACATGGGGGCCTCTGCCTACATCATCCGATGCGTCTCCATTTGGGGCCGTATCGTCACATACCTGAACCAGGGTGGCAGAGAGCAGGATCCATATCCGATGTGGAATGAAAACTCTGAGTATGCGAAACTGGTGCGAGACACGGAAGCGCTGTTGCGCAGTCTTCCAGAAAACCTGCAGTGTACGCGCGAGGCCCTGGAGATTCACCGGGCGGAGAGCACCGCAAAATATCTCCTGTACCTGCACATGGCCATCCAGCAAAACTTCATCTTCCTACACCAAGCTGCAGTCTCCTTCTCTAAAGACCGAGTCGACGAGGAGGCACCCGATGACTTCGTCTCGCAAGCCAGCATGAAGACCTTTGCGGCAGCCAACAAGATATCGGACCTTATCAGAGATGCGGAAGAGGTGCAGTGCAGTATAGCAACGCCCTTTGCCGGGTACTGCGCCTTCTCCTCAGCAACTATCCACATCACTGGTATCTTCTCTGGAAATCCGGCGCTGAAAGCTACGTCAGAGGCCAATTCTAGCGTCAACGTAAGGTTCCTGCGCAACATGATGAAGTACTGGGGCATGTTCCACTGGATGGTAGAGAACATCCGCATCCAGTTCCGGAATGCGCTGGATGCCGCCCGCACTGGCGGCCCGAGCAATGGCAGTACTGCATCGTCACCGATATTGCAGTATGCCGACTGGTTCAACCGCTATCCTCACGGAGTCGCGGACACGGATTACATGGATCCCGCCGTCTATAGGAAGAAGGAGCGTGGAGAGGATGGCGCATTGGAGCAAAAGCCAGAGCTGCAATCGATCGAGGATTTCTTCATGACCGTAGGGCCGGTTATGAGTGACAAGGACGGATCGAGGTCTGGGCCATCAAAGCGGAAAGCCCCCTTGAAGAAGCCAGTTGTGTCAACCTCGGGTAACGCCGACCAGCAGAAGTCCAGTGACGAACAATCGGCGACGATGAGCGGGCAGCATCTTCACGAGCAGATGAGGCTCGCCATGCAACGTCAGCAGCAACAGCAACAGCAGCAGCAGCAACCGCAACAACATTCTCGACAACCACCCAGGTTCTCGGACGCGCTCGGGATACATTCCCCCAATCCATCTGGCTTCAATCCTCTCAATGCATCGCAGCCTCAAAACTCGACATATCCTACCATGCCATCCATCGGCCCCGCCAATGCCGCACAGTATGCCCAAAGCATGCCTCTGCAGAACTTCTTCTCCACAGATCTGCTCACCATGAACCTGGAACAGCCCAACGGCATAATGGATTCACTCGGCAAGCAGCTCTCTTACAATGATTTCTCCATGGGTGCCGGAGGCGTCATAATGAACGGATCTGGCGGCTGGGGAAACATGTCCGGGAGCAACCCGCAGGCCGCTGCTCAGGTTCACAATCAGCAAAACATGAAAGCTGGCAGCATGAGCAGCGATCATGCACACGGCCAGGATCAGATGGGCAACAGTGGCCTTAACCCATACCTCGGCCAAGATGCGTCTCCCGGATGGTTCATGTCGTTGGAGGGCGGCCAGGATATGGGATTCGGCAGCGTTGATCCTTTTGCAAACCTATTCGGCAGCGACGGGGGAATGCTCATGGCCGACCATCAAGGTGGCGTGTGACCTCAGTGATCCTCTGAGTGTGAGATTGCAGCTGCCATGTGCCCGGAACGGCCAGATATATGCTATTGATGACGCTTTATAATCGAAGCATGGCTGGACTATCAGAGAGCCCAAACTGAGCTCTGGGATCTCCAACTTTTCCAGAGATGGAACTGTACCAACCCGCCCGTCGAAGCGTGATATAGCGTTCACTATTTGTGCTTTGTTTTCCTTTTTCTTCTAAGGTGGATGCGAGCTGCTACTGTCTATGTTACTTGACCATGGAACGTCGGAGTATGACTGGGAATTTGGAGCATTTGGAAGGAAAATGGCGCTATAGGAGGATGATATTGGATATCTTACTTTATGTCAAAGGGACATTTATCCACATATACCCCGGGGGAACAACTTGGCTTGTTACGGCAAAAAGGAATTCAACAAATGAAAGCTGCCTTGAGACAATTGTCATGTCTCTATCTGGTGTAAATTTGCCTCCATTGTACCTCGAGCAGAGAGCGGGTGTTGGTATATTGAAAAGGCGGAGCAGATGTTGGAACTGGCGTGCCTCTCTCCTTGTCTGGAGTGTTTCGCTGTGCATTGTCTGAAGCGCCGCTTTGGCATTGCCTCTTTGTGTATATGTTATTCCTCTCTGAGCATGTCTCTGATGAGAGGAGGATTTGTGAAGCTGCGAATCCGTTACTTTTGGTAACATTTCACCTCTCAGAGTCATGAAAGCAACCACACGAAATCATGATTTTCCCTTTCGTCCAAAGTGTCTGATAGCATCAAATCCATTCAATTCATCTTCCCAAAATCGACAAGACTCCCCACGCTATGCCAAGAACAAAGATGATCAAAGCAATAAAGCAAGCAATGCCCTCCTCGCCTTTTCTCATGTCCAATCCCGCCATCTTTCCAAAAGAAACGCTATAGTACTCTCATCGTTGTGTTTGCTTCTTGTCGTCATTCATGTCATTAGTTCGTTGTATCTCGTTATTGTGAGAATCATTTGCGTTCTTTCCACCGTTTAGCCCCTTGTAGAATTTTATCCCGCTCGATTCCCTTTTACCCAAAGCCAATTTTCCCAGGTAGTGTCATCGTGTCCAAGAGTCCTTTTTCACTCCTTCTTGATATAAACAGGGATTCCATACAAAACCACCGCCGCGCCGTTGAGATACTTGAAGCGACACGCGCTTCTCGCCCTCGCCACCGCCTCCGCAAGCGAAGCATGATCTGAAGCAGGAGCATCGAGCCTCACTTGGTCCACCTCCTCGGCAAAGCTCTTAGCCCTGCCCTTGGCCTTGGCCTTGGCCTTGCCCGACAAGGACGTCGACAGGTCAAACGTGCCCCTGGCAAAGAGCCCCCATTCCTCAAAAGCCCTGCCGGCGAACCGGTCAATGTCGCGGTCCGTCACGTCCCACAGCGTGCCCACGACGGCCGGACACCCGGCCATCATGTAGTTCCACACGGGGCCATACAACTCAAACTCGCCCGCGTCGGTGAGAGCCGCAGAGCTGCAGCCCATGAGGAACGTCGCCGGCCTGCACTTTTCCAGGCGGCGGATCGTCTTGCCACGGATATACTGAGCGCCGCTGCCGTGGCCAAAGTACACCATAATCTCGGACGTGGACAGCGCGTGCTCGAACTCGGACTCCTTGGGCGCCTTGTTGGTGATGCCGGTCCACGACTCAAGACTCAAGAAGGCCGACTGGAAGAAGGCTTGCGTGTTGGTCAGGTCAGACGACGGATTGAGGACGTATGTGCCAGCCCTGGCCGACACAAAGTGGCCCTGTGATGCGCTTGTCGGACCTATGCCAGCCTCCTCAATGAGCTGACGAAGACATGCGAGTGAAGGCACCCGAGACACCGAGAGGCCGTCCATGCAGGGCAGCGACTCCCAGGGGAAAGCATGCAGCAGCTTGTCGAGAACAAGCACCGTGTGCGCGCCCTCCTCTCTCTCTGGAGAGCTGGCAGCATTGTGATATGCGCGCAGGGCATCGTACGTCTCTAGCACCATGCTGTCAAAATCGATTTCGTCGTAAGCATTTCGCTCGCCGTGAAACTGCAGGATATCCACCACAAAGTAGAGCAGGTCATTCATGGCCTCGTCAAAGTCGGTGTCCGGGTCGGTAGGGTTGCCGAGGCCAATAAACAAGTCGAGAATTCTGGGATCCAAGTTTACCGTATCCGTCTTCGTCGTCATCTTCTTGGCTCGGCTCTTGTTTCGAGAAGGCAGAGTCCTGTCCAGCATTTGGTGGAAATCCCGCTGGAAGCGTGCCAGCAGGTCCCCCAGTCTGCGATGCTGCGAGAATATGCCCTTGAACCCTCCCAGCCAAGTCGTCTCGATTGTGACTAAGAGCTTCTTAAGTCGAGAGTCGAGAGCCTGTCGCTCCGCCCACCAAGCACCCCGTTCTCCTTTGGCGGTGAAGTCCCGCGCGGAGTGGCTGCTTTCGTTGGCCAGCTTGATCAGCTCCAGCAGCTCCTCACGACCGTGCTCAAAGTTGAAGACCTCAGAGTCGGCATCACGGGAGTTGGCTCGCTCCAGGGGCAAGCGTAAGATGAACGGGCCCTGCCCAGCTTGAAATTTGGTGATGCACAGATCATGGCGGTTATCGCTGAGGGAAACAGAGATGACGCTCCACTTCTCTGGAATCAAGTCGACGTAGGACTCCTGAAAGTTGGCCATGTCGGCCGTCAACTCTGCCGCGGGCGGCTTGTGGACTGGAGTCGCAACCCGCATAGCGGCCGCATCATTGTTGGGTCCGGCCAGCGTCAGCTGCTCTCGCCGCCAGGTGACATTGCGAGCCATGTCAACAGCGATAGTGCCCAAGCTCGATCCAGAGAGACACCTGGACGAAGCCAGTGTGGCCGAGAGAAAGATGAGGGTGCTCTGGAGCAGTGTGGAGATGCGACGAACCATGCTGCTGTCAGCGCTCGAGAGGGCAGAGGCGTGAGCTTCGACGAGGAGCTCCTGTGCTTGCCTCAGCGCATCGGCAAAGGCAGGAGAGTCCGTCTCCTTTTCGCCCTTGACAAGCGGCTGCTTGATAGGAGAGGCTAGAGCCAGCGCCGACACAGCGGGGAAGGAAATGGTTGAATCCTGCATGACAGAGAAGACGGGATCGGAAGTCATCTGCTCCATGCTGTGGCCAATCAACGACACCGCTGTCATGACTTGTTCCTGAGAAAGCACGGCCACGAGTTTGGGGACGTCTTTGAGTTGTTCTAGCGCTTGCAGAGCCGACGTCCAGTCTTTCTGATGGATCAGGCCCAGGGTGCGTGACATGATGATGGCAGCGTGGAGGGAGGCATAGTATATGTCCTTGGGCAGCTGTACAGCATCCTCTAGAGGAGGAGCCTTGGTTTCCGCCGTGTCACGCTTCGAGGCTTTGGTTGAGCCTGTTGCTGCTTTTGCCCTCGTTGCTCTCGTGGATCTTGTAGCCCTGGTCGAGGCAATAGGGGGCTCTGCATCGACATTGCTACTAGACTCGCCCTCGACTGTGCTCAGAAGGCGGGCAGTCTCCTCAGCGATTGTCAGGTACCCGGCAGCTTTGTCGTCTTCTCCAATCTCCCAATAGAATTCTCCGAGTTGACGCGCAAAGCGAACGCGGGCAGAGCAGATGTCACGCGGTAGCTGCTCCTCTGCATTCTTGAAAGTGGCCAGCGCTTTTGGCAGCTTCCCAGCCCTAAGATAGACTGAGCCGATCCAGATAGCTACCTGAGATTTGTAGAGGGATGATTGGGTGCTCTCCGCAATCTTCCAGGCGGACTCGGCGTAATAGATTGTCTCCTGGAACATGCCGATATGAGCGTACACTGACGAGATGTGTAAAAGGCTTCGAAGAAGTGGGCTGGCCAGAGCCCAGAACCGCGGGCCGGATGCTTTACCCCGTGAGGTTGTCAAGTCTGTGATGCTGGTGTTCATGTCTGACAGGCTCATGTCTGCTGCATTCCTTGGGCCAGCCCCCATTGCTGCTTCCAGCTTGGTCCAGTCATGAGTGAGTAATCGAACGCTTGTCTTGACGTATGAGAGCGCGTCTGGTATATGTCCAGCCTGGAGAGTAGCAATGGATTGTAGCAATGCGGTGATGGACATGATCATTGAAGCCTGAGACTTGCTCCGAGCCCAAGAGGAGTAATGGGCGTTGCAAATTTTGCTGGCCTTGGAGAGGCAATTGAGCCTGCGATCTGTTAGCTTCCCCCTTTCTTCTCGTATTTCGAATTACATCTAGCGATAAACAACACTTACGCAGTCTCCATCTCGCCAATGCTGGTGTGGTACTCTGCCTGTGAGAGGTGAAACTCAGCTTGGACTTGACGAGAGAGTCCGTCATAGCGGCTGATGAGCTCTTGAGTTTCCTCCAAGGTCTTGAGAGCTTGCGGGAATAGCCCAATCTGTACGTATTGCGCCGCCAAATGACTATGGCTGAGAACCAGCCCGTCGCCGTTGGCTTCCGTAGATCCGACAAATATGCTAGACAGGGAAATGGTGAGCTCAGATATGGCAAGCTGAAGACGCGTCTCTCCCCTGAGCCCTGCAAGCTGGTGTAGTGACCGCAGATGATCCAACAGGCCCTGAGGGTCGTCGATGATTGAAAGCAGCTCGTCTTGCGTCTGACAAGTCCCTACCATGGACTTCCAGGAGTCGATTGCCTGATCAAGCAGCGGAGTCATGGTATAATCCACACGGATGAGAGCAGAAATGGAAAAGCAATAGGCCTTTAGATGGGGAACAAAGCGGGCCAGTGCAGCGTCGCCCGCCTTGTCTCCGGTCTCGACACGCTCCAGCGTCTCTTCAGCTAGAGGGAGGATTTGGGCAAGCTGTTCCTCTTCTCCAAGGTTTTGATAGCAGAGATGTAGCAACACGCGGAGGCGGCGCAGTGGATACCTGTCAGGGGTGTACAGGCGAAGCAGCGCAGCGACTCCCGCATCGTGAAGCCCAAGGGGTGTCGAGGAACCAGAGAGATTGAGATACATGAGATGCTCCAAGACCGCGGCGCGTTCAGCCTCTGGGAGGGGAAACGTCCACTCGTTCCACGAGGTGTCATACTTGGACAAGGAGCGCAGAGTGCGCGACATGAGCGATACCCTCTCGTTGATGGCCCAGGCCGTGCTTGGAGGCTGGACAGAGAGCGCTTCAGCAACATCGCTCAGCGCGCCCTTGTCGGCCATGTTGGAGCAGATGGCGCGCAACGCCTGTATGGCATCGTCGGCCCTGCCAGAACTTTTGCACAGATCGGCAAACACCTCCAGCTTCGTTGATAGCTGCGCCTTCTCCTTCTCTGCTTCGGTACAGTTCTTAACAACGTCAATCGATCGGTGCAAGGCCTGCAGAAGGTGCTTGTTCTCGTCTTTGGTTCGGCTCGATTTCCTTTTAAGCTGGGAAAAGTAGAGAAAGTAAAGGCTGGAGAGCTTGACGGAATAGGGGCCGAAATTGTCCACTTTGTGGGTAGACAGAGTAGAGGCAGTCATGCATTCGATAAGGGAGACGCAGTGCTGAAGAACATCGTCGACTGCGTGCCACTCTAAAGATTCGGACTGGATGTCGCATTTGATGACCATGAGGGTAGCATCAAGAGTTTGACCTATGGACTGTGCAACTAGTTGTCGCCGCTGATCAAACTGGAGGACCTGCTTCGGCGGTGCGTCTTTGCCAGGGGGCAGTCCTGTCCATCGGCGCACAAATCGTGGATACTTGAGGGCGAATGTCTTGAGATGACCTAGTAGGATGTTTGGAACCGTGCTTTCGGCTGCTTTCGGGCCCAAGCAGGTCATAAGGAGGCCGACGACTGAGCGCCTCGCAAGACACAGGCTTTCGAGAAGCTCGTTCAGCTCTGCGATTGTTCCGCTGAGGCTGCCGTCCAAGCCCTCGATGACTTCGCAGAGCAGAGGCTCGACCGTTTGATCTAGATCGGACTTCTTCAGAGCCACCGCAAGGAGGCGCGCAGACACCGAGCATCTGAGAACAGATGATTCGTGTCCGGCAGTAAGAGAGCCCTTCACTTCCAGAAACCAGCGGTGGGCTTCGGTATATCGGCGCTCAGCCTGGGCAATGGACCCTAGATTTTGGTGTATTGATGCTAAAGGGAAGTCAAAGGATGTTGCTGGACGATATTGCTGGGCATGAATAAGCTGCATGATGGCGTCGTATGCTTCGGACACTCTTTGGTAGATGGGGCCGTCGTCTGATCTCTGGCGGCGGGTGTAAGCTCGTAGGCAGCGAGAGAACGGCGAGAGCACGTCGTTGTCAATCTTTCCCTGATGGCCCGCCAATTTCCACCACTTGAGCTGAATCCGGAAAGCCAGAGACTGCAGTTCGAAAGCTGCTCGGGGAGACGGACTCAACCGGGGCTCGGTGGCTACGGCATCTTCCTGGCTGGAGATGCTGGGCGCAAGCGAGAGGAGAAGTTGGGACAAGGACGCCATTTGGCGAACCGCCTTTGAGGCTTCCTTGGCTCCACCTTTGGCGAGGGCGGACAGGAGGTTGAACGGAGACGAGGTGTATGAATCGGGGAGGTAGGGGAGAATGGCTTCGATGTGGGAGGGCTTCTTCGTCGCCGCGACTAGCTTCAGAACTTGCATCTGGTATCCCGTGATGGTGGCGAGGCTCTGCTTCGGAATGGAGCCGTGGAAGTTGAGCAAATCGGCGATTGCTGATGTCGTGGTCGTGCTCTCGGATCCCGACTTGGCATTGCTTGACTGCTTCCCATTGATGATGGTATCCAACCTTCGCTTCAGCACCCTCAGCTCCTTGAGAGCTTGGTCATGCATCCCCAGAGAGAGCAGCTTGCCTGCCAATGCTGACATGCCCGTCTCCAGCTGAAAGTCGGTCTCGTCGGGTTTCGTTGGGCCCTTCATGGTTCGGAGCGCGGAGAATGCGGTTCGTGCGCACTCCACCGTGGCAAGACATCCCGTCGACTGGGCTGGCGATTGTGATTTCGTAATGTTCGCTTCGACGCTGAAGGACGCAGTAAGGCGGTTGAGCGCGCGGGGCTGGACGGGAGACAGCGGCGCCGAGGAGGATCTGCGTATCGATTGTATCCCCGCTGCTTCTCGAGGATCGCCGGCTGGTTTCGACGGCGTTGCCAAAGGCTGAGGCTTCGCAGCCTCGGACAGCGTCTTGAGGGTGACATTAATGATGTATGTGGCCAGGGCAGCCCTCTCGCGCGCACTCAGCGTCTCGCCATGGGAGACCAGGGAATCTTCTCTTGCGGTGCTGCCCTTCGTTTTCGTCGCGGCTCCAGCCTTTGTAGATCGTGAGGCGGTGGGCTTTGGTCTCGGCGGCTGCGATTCGGCTTCTGGCAGGAGGAGTTCTTTGAGTGTTACGACTGTCGCCGGAGTGCAAGTCGCTGTCGATGCAACAGTCGCCTTGACGGCCTCGACTTTGGCCTGTAAGGAAGCCATCTCGATGATGAATTGTCTCCGCCCGGATCGTTAGTCATACCATGTCAATGTGCCAAAACACGGATCCAAAAGAGGCGGTGCCATCCGGCGCGACGATGCATATAGCAATGAGTGTGAAGGCTAATATTCGTGCTGTGCTGTTGCATGCAGTCGATCAATGGCTTCAATGTGTTTGGTGCCGGATGAAAGCTGTGGGGCTAAACATCGGGAGTTGTCCAGGGCAACTTGCCGGGATCGGACAAGCGCCGCTCCGGAGTTGGGGCCAGGCACGGGAGTCTCTACTTTGTACATCCGTCGGATTCCAGAAAACCTCCCACCACATGCGAACCTGTCTGTTTCGAGAGCGCTCTCAAGCATCAACTCCAACGCCACGGAAAAAAAGAATACCAGACAAAAGGCGCGAGAGATGGCGACTCAACGGCTTCTGCTGAATGCCGGAAGGCGGAGCATGGCTGCCATGGCTGCCAATCGCATTGCCGTCAGCAGCTTTGCCGTCAGCAGCTTTGCGCACGCGAGACTCGGGCTGCGATTCTCGAGCACAGCACCGTACACCGTCGTCGAAGGATCTTTCTGGAAATCCCTCATCCCTAAGCCACTGCGCAAGGCGAACCGCAACAAGCTCAAGACAAAGGCCAAAAAGGACTGGAACCCGGCGACGTACTTCATCGTCATGTTCCTGTTCATCGGGTCCATGTCGATCCAAATGATAGCGCTGCGGAACCAGACGGAGCGATACATGCGGCAGTCGTCGCTGAGGCTCGCCCAGCTTCGAGAGGTGGTGCAGCGCATACAGAATGGAGAGGATGTGGATGTTGAAAAGGCTCTCGGCACGGGCGACCCCCAGAAGGAGACGGAGTGGGAAGAGAGTGAGTGGTTCACGTCAACGGCAGTTTCTCGATGCAAGGCGATTGCGTGACTGACACAAGATCTCAGTGCTACAAGCGATTGAGCGCGACGAAGCATCCCAGAACCTCGAGAAGCAGCGCAAGCAGAAGCAGACGGAGACGCAGGCGAAGACTGTCAGCCAACCTCAGAGCGCTCAGCAGCCGCCGCCAGAAGCCCCCGCTCCGGTGAAAACGAAGACGGCCAGTTTCGGAAATTTCTTCTGAATCGTGTCCATGTTGCAGCGCTGATATATATCTACAATGTCTATGAGAGCATGTCTTTGAAGACAGATGAGTTTTCTCGCTCGTGGTTTCTAATCGGGGCGTCGATGGGCAACGCGCCCGATGAGAGCTTCTGGCGAAGCTGAGATACAAGAGCTGGGAGAAGATCGTCAGTCGACACCTCAACCCGGACAGCCAGTTCGCCGGCCTGGTTAGGATTCACGTCGACGAAGAACTGGTCTTCTCCTCTGACGCCGCCCATATTGACAATGGCAATAGGCATGCCCCTGTCCTTGGCTCTCTTAGCCAACCTCCATGCTGAATATGTGGCAAGCGAAGTGCCCAGGACGAGAAGTCTACCGGCGCTGTCGATGGCATTCTCGGCTGCAGATCGAACATGGTTGGAAATGTTTTCCCCAAACATGACAACATTCGGCTTCAACACACCTGCTGAGCTCGGCAAAATCCATGCTCCATCGCTATCGACTCTTACCGTGTGCCTGAAGCCCTCTGCTTTGATCGGCGGATCGGCCAGGCATCGAGGGCAGGGAGGGTATCTAAATGTGGTATATGGCGCATCGGGAAAGTCGACATCGCCATCTGGGTTGACCTTGAGGCCTCTGAACTTTTTCTCGTCGGGATCCTCGGTGTCGAGAGCTCCCGACGCCAGCGCCTCCTGAAGGAGATCCGCCCAACGAGGGTTCAGCCGCGCCAATTGATGCTGAAAGTCCTCGCGAGGATACTCGGTGCGGCAGGTGGTGCAGGACGTTGATCTTAGATAGCCATGGAGTTCGAGCGAAGGGATATGGGGATGGGCTTTGGGGTGGAAGGAATCGACATTCTGCGTAATGACGGCGCTGATCAAGCCCAAGTCTCCCAAGTCTCTGATAGCATAATGGCCAGCATTCGGCTTCGCTTTTTGGAGGCTCGTCCAGCCGAGAAAGCTCCTGGCCCAGTACCTCTTGCGGGCCTCGTGATTCTGCACAAACTCGTTGTAGTAGATTGGGCGGTACGTCTTGTTCACGCGGTACGTGCCATTGGGCCCGCGATAGTCGGCCAGGCCAGAGGCCACAGACAGCCCGGCGCCTGTGAGAACGACGGTCGAGGAGGGCAGCGGGCTGGGCGGTGGAGCGGCGAAGAAGTTGTGCAGGGCGGCGAGGGCGCCTTGGAGGGAATGGGCCGAGGCCGGGATGATCTTGGGCGACGGGAGGATGTCAGTGTAGGGGATTCGCATCAGCGGTTTGCGCATTGGGAGAGGTGAGAGATGCCAGGATCGGCATCCGCGTCAGCGTGGCTCAATTGGAAGAGTGAGGCTTGAGTGTTGATCTTGTACGGTACTGTAAAGTAGTGCTGACAATTGTCAGGTGAAGCCGGAGAATGAAATAACAGACAGACATGACAATCTAAGACGTGGATGGCATCGGATGAATCGTTGATTATCTAAACAGATTCCGTCCGATCTTGGTGCAGCTGCCACGCTCCTCCGATCAAGGCGCGTCGAATCATTGCTCCATGTGCGTGCTGACAAAGAGCCGATGCATGATTACATCACCTAGGCAGGTACCTACTTGTAACAACCAGCAGGATCGACATCCATCTTCAGCGTGCAGCCCCATGGAGCCCTCCATGCCAATTGCCCTGTGCAGCGGCTCCAGGGGACAGGCGCCCCCCATCTGCAGCACACTCGCAGCGCCCCGAACGCCCTGAAGCCGCCTGTATCTTCGCACACCAGCACGGACACTCCAGGGCTTGCAGTGGCCTGATGCGGCGAACTCGGTCTCCGGACTACGGGACCCGGCCATTTCGCCCGCCTCTCGTTCAACCTTTCTTTTCGCGCATCGATCTCCATCTTCTCTCTCCCCCTTCGAGCCGCAACGCAATGCAGCGCAAGAGACTGAGCGCAAAAGCCGAGCTCTCCATGTCTGCGTCCAGCCCGCCGATAGTCCCGTAGAGCGCCTTTGTTTCCGTCCGTCCAGTTCCCCCCTCCCTCTCTCAGCCACCCCCCTGGAGCGGGTGAAACAGCCCAGCCGGACGCTGTATGTCTGCCCAGGCCAGGCGCTCCACGGGCCTGGCCTTGCGCTGCCAGCGCCTGGGCTGCGGCTCTCTGTATCCGCCTCTGGCCCGGCACTCGCCCTCGCAATTTAGCCAGCGCATCACCTCGAGCCTCAAGCCCGTCCAGCTGTTCGCGTCCACCGTCGTGTCGCTGTCCGCCTCGTCCAATTGCCACACTGCGCTGGCCGACACTCTGACGGCTCGCAGCGCCGTGCTTCACATCTGCCCCGTCGTCCGCGGCCGCATCCGCTCGCCGGCCTTCACCATGGGCTCCGTCCGCCAGGCACGCGATCAGCACAAGCACGAGCACGACTCGGAGCACGACTCCGACTCGTCGAGCCACGAGCATCCTCTCGAGGTCGATCACGATCACGATCACAATCACGACCATGGTCATGACCACGGCCACAGCCACGGGCTGTTTGGCCACCACCACCACCACGACAACACGTTCCTGACGTCGACGGACAAAAACGACCCCGGCGTGCGCATCACCCGCATCGGCCTGCTGAGCAACCTGGCCATGGCCATTGCCAAGTTCATCGGCGGCTGGGCCTTCAACTCAAAGGCCATGATTGCCGATGCCTGGCATAGCATCGCCGATCTGGCCTCGGACATCCTGACGCTGGCGACCGTCTCGTGGAGCCTCAAGGGCCCGACCGAGCGCTTCCCCTTGGGTTTTGGCAAAGTCGAGAGCCTGGGCGCGCTGGGCGTGTCGGGCATGCTGCTTGTCGGCGGCTTCTACATGGGCTTTGAGAGTGCCGTGACGCTGTATGGCCATTGGAACCCCGAGGCGGCGCACGAGATGCTGGAGCACGTTGCGCATGGCCACAGCCACAGCCACTCGCACAGTCACGCAGATCTGGGCATCCCCAGCATACACGCAGCCTGGCTGGCGGGAGGCACTATTCTGGTCAAGGAATGGCTCTACCAAGCCAGTACGTCTTTGCATCTTCTTTGTCGATAACGTTCTGTTCTTGCTGACACGTGTTGCTTTACAGCCATGAAGATTGCGCGCGATCGCAAGTCATCCGTCCTCGCCTCCAACGCCGTGCACCACCGCATCGACAGCCTGACGGGCATCGTGACGCTCTTCGCCATTGTCGGCGCCAACGTCATTGAAAACGCCGCCTGGCTGGACCCCGTCGGCGGCCTCTTCATCTCCGCCATGGTCCTCCACGCCGGCCTGGGCAACACCAAGTCTGCCTTCCTCGAGCTGATCGACCAGAGCCTGGATGACGACGTCAAGGCGGCCATTCGCAGGCAAGCGCACCGGGCAATTGCCAATGTCAGCGAAGGGCACCAGGCCGAGCTGCGCGACATCACGGGGACTAAGTCTGGACCTAACTACCTGGTGGACCTGGAGATGGCGGTGCCTGGCGCATGGACGGTGGACGACGTCAAGGATCTGGAGGATGCCGTGCGCACGCTCGTGGGCGGCAAGGTGCGCGGCGTGAAGCGAGTCCGGGTGCGCTTTGTGTCGAGAGACGCAGAGGTCAACAAGAGGTTTGACGAGTTCATCCCGGGCAGCGCGCGGTCGAGCGTCTCGGAAGGATCCGAGCAGTCGGAAGAGGAGCATCATCATGACCACGGACACAAGCATTAGAGATGGCCCGTAACAGCCATTGCTTCATGACAATGGCGTTTCCTTTTCTTGTGTTATAAAAATCCTAGACTTTTGGGGGACTGGATACTAGTACTAGACTTTTATGAATTACACACGGCAATTTGTACGACCACCACTCCATCGTCGTTATGTACTACAAGTTCCTGTGCCTGCCCCCATGCCAAGGCCCGAGAGCCCCGGCTCCGATCGCTTGCTGCTGTGATCCGGTGCTCCGGGCGACGTTCCGGATCCGCAGGGCCACGGCCATCTTTTGGCGTCTGCAATGTGACACGGGAAGCTTTGAGGTGTGTTTGACTCGAGTCACGATACCTGTAGTATCTGCCTCAGCAGAGGTACCATCTACGTGCTGTCCCTTGTCAAACACCGCCTCTTGAGCGATTAAGAGAAGTAGCAGAGACATTAATCATATTTAGCCTAAATACAGCGAAACGGCAGCTGAAAAAGACCCTCCAGGGCTCTATGTACCTTATGCACCTTATCAGCCTCCACCTGATGACAGGCCATGAGCCTCGTTTGACTGGAAGGTTCAACGTCTGCACTCAAACGATGCAATCCAGCCAGCACCATGAGATGACGACCGACGTCGGAAACAATAGAGGCGAGGTAACCAGAATAACGTCGGCTCAACGCACAAAGGTAACAGCCAAAGACGGCTCAAGTTCCCACACAACCTTCCCGCAAATCTTTACCGCTTCTACTTTAGCCTAATCCAACCTTCTTTGAGAGGTTTGATGCTGAGGAGGAGCTTCTAAGCGCACTGCAATTCCCCACAAGAAGGCGCCCGTGATGATCCTATCCGTGCCAATAAGGGTTGCCTTGAGGGTGGTGTAACGATTACGTCGTTGGGCCTTTTATACGCAGCATCGTCATTCACTTTTTTGATCTTATTTTTGGATCTCGTTTCTTCACGGCTCTTTTGCATGTGAGCTGCGTTCAAGGGTCCAGACTTTTCATTGGCTATTGTTGATGACTATACAGGAGCTTTCCTTGGTGACCAACGTCCGAACTGGCATTGCAATCATACAATTCTCATCGAAGCATCTTTGAGAGCAGCTTGACCAAGTAGAGCATCGGGCTTATTACCAGCGTTCAACTCGACAATCATGAGTGAGGAAAAGGGGCCCCTTTACCTGGGCTTTGACCTCTCAACCCAGCAACTCAAAGGTCTGTCCAACTCCCCTCCCAGCCCATCTATACCCTCATATAAACCACCACAACCTCAAGGTGACAGTCCACTAACACAACACATCACACAACACAGCCATCGTCGTCAACTCCAATCTCAAATCCATAGCCGAGGCCAAAGTCGACTTTGACCAAGACTTTGGCCCCCAGTACGGCATCCAAAAGGGCGTCCACGTGCGCGAGTCCACCGGCGAGGTCTTCGCCCCCGTCGCCCTATGGCTGGAATCCCTCGACCTCGTCCTGAGCCGGCTCTCCAAGGCGATGCACCCGCTGCCCATGAGCCGCATCCGCGGCGTCAGCGGCTCCGGCCAGCAGCACGGCGCCGTCTTCTGGAACGCGAGCGCCGAGGAGCTGCTGGGCGGGCTGGATGCGGCCAAGGGGTCGTTGGTCGAGCAGCTCAGGGGCGCGCTGGCGCATGAGTTTGCGCCCAACTGGCAGGATCACAGTACGCAGGAGGAGTTGGTTGCGTTTGATGCCGAGCTCGGGGATAGGGAGAAGCTGGCTGAGGTTACGGGCAGCGGTGCCCATCATGCAAGTCTTTCCCGGTCCCTTATGAGCTTCTCCAGTCATCTGCTATCTTCCCCCTTTTGACGCCATATGCTAACATGAAGGACCCTCCTTGCCTTGTCGCCTTACAGAGATTCACCGGCCTCCAAATCATGCGCATCAGGCGCGTCCTCCCCCAAGTCTACGCAAACGCAAAGCGCATCTCCCTCGTCTCCTCCTGGCTCGCCTCCGTCCTCATGGGCTCCATCGCGCCCCTCGACGTCAGCGATGTCTGCGGCATGAACCTCTGGGACATCCCTAATCAAGCCTGGAGCGAGAAGCTGCTCGCCCTCTCCGGGGGCGGCGGCCTGGACGGCGCGGCCAACCTGCGACGGAAGCTCGGCGAGCCGCGCATGGACGGCGGCGGCTCCATGGGCAGCATCTCGAGGTACTACGTGTCCAAGTACGGCTTCAGCCCGGAGTGTCAGATCACGCCCTTCACGGGGGACAACCCGGCGACGATCCTTGCGCTGCCGCTGAGGCCGCTGGATGCCATTGTTTCGCTGGGCACGTCGACGACGTTTCTGATGAACACGCCTGCGTACAAGCCGGATGGCTCGTACCACTTCTTCAACCATCCCACGACGCCCGGCAACTACATGTTCATGCTCTGCTACAAAAACGGCGGTCTCGCGCGCGAGAAGGTGCGCGACACCCTCCCCAAGCCCGAGGGCGGCGCCACAGGCTGGGAGACGTTCAATGAGGCCATCATGGCCACGAAGCCCCTGGGCATCGAAAGCGACGGCGATCGCGCCAAGCTCGGGCTGTACTTTTACCTCCGGGAGACGGTGCCCAACATCCGCGCCGGAACATGGCGCTTCACGTGCAGGCAGGACGGCAGCGACCTGCAGGAGGCGCGCGAGGCTTGGCCCAAGGAGGCCGACGCGCGCGCCATTGTCGAGTCGCAGGCCCTGTCCATGCGCCTGCGCTCGCAGAAGCTCGTCCACAGCCCGCGCGACGGGCTCCCCGCGCAGCCGCGGCGCATCTACGTCGTCGGCGGCGGGTCGCTGAACCCGGCCATCACGCGCGTGCTCGGCGAGGTGCTCGGCGGCGCCGACGGCGTGTACAAGCTCGACGTCGGGGGCAACGCGTGCGCGCTGGGCGGCGCGTACAAGGCGCTGTGGGCGCTGGAGCGCAAGGACGGCGAGACGTTTGACGACCTCATTGGGGGGCGGTGGACCGAGGAGGGATCCATTGACAAGGTGGACGTTGGCTATCGCGAGGGGACGTATGAGCGGTATGGCAAGGTGCTGGGGGCGTTTGAGGAGATGGAGAGGAGGTTGCTTGCGGAGGAGGAGCACTAGAGGGTGTGTGCGGCCTGGAATGGATGAATTCATTCAGTGTAATTCATTATGATGATGATGGCGTCTAATGTCCTCTAGGAAGATAAAGATATATAGAGATATAGAGGGGGAAAAAAAGAAAAGAAAAACCATGCACGTCGCTAATCCTGAGTACTGCCGGGGGCTCCGGTGCCTCCCATTTTATCGAACATACTTGCTCATGAACCGTCTATGGAAATCAGACCGTAACATGTCCTAAGCAGAGAAAGCAATCAGTAACTCGCCAATGATGAAAGCACATTGGAAGATTGGGAAAAAGAGACTCACGTTAACAAATTCCTTCTTCTTATTCTTGTCTTCCGTCCCCCTGGCCTGGTTCTTGAACACCACGTCGTCGTCCCACCGCCGCTTCATTGTGAAGTCCTGCTTGTTGAGCAGGGGGTTGCCGAGCGCAATATCTCTTTCTCGAGCTTCTTGCTCTTCTCTCGCCCGCTCTTCTTCCTATAACGAACAGTCAGTTAGCCCGCTCTCCCAAGGTGTAAAGATAAAGGGCCACCACAACTTACCTCTCTCTTCTTCTTCTCTTCACGCTCTCTCCGCACCCTCTCCAGCTCCCGCTGCAGCTCCGCATCCTCGTCATCTTCGCTATCGTCATCATCGTCACTGTCCTCCTCCTCTTCGCTATCATCATCCGCATCGATATCCCTGCTCTCCTCTAATATCCTCCTCCGCTTCGCCTCTAGATCTTCTCCCTCTCCCTCGCCATTCGTAGACTGCGATCGCTTCTCCCCTCGAACGGCCGTCACTTCCTCATCCTCATCCTCGTCGTCCTCGGGGGCCAAGACGCCGCTATTGTGCCTCTTCTTCTTGAAGTGCGCTGCCTCGGCGGCGAGGAGCTCCGCAGCGAGGTCGCGCGTCGGTTCGTCATCGGCGTCGCCGCCCTGGCCGGCTTTTCGGTACTTGAGCTGGGTGTGGGCAGGCAGGAGGCGCTGGTGGTAGGCTGGGCCGCGGAGAGCCTCTTTGCCACGGGCCTGAGGACTGCTGTTAGCAGGGACTGAACCTGTTTGGCGACTGAGAAATGATGATTCCTTACGGGATCAAAGGTTGGTCTATGGGCGGTGGTCATCTTGTCGGATACTAATTGGCAGCAAACAGACGCAGGATACTTAGGCAAGTTGGGAAGAACTGCTTAAGATGAGAAGTGAATTGGGAAGAGTTCCAAGAGTTGGTCGCGTTGGTCACTCAATCAAGTCGCGGCAGCAGCACCGAAAACAGGCAACTTTAGGCTCACCGCCCGGCAGAATTTTTCAGTGGCGCTCCCGCTTCTCAGTGAGAGCTTCATATCATCAAGCCCAACTTTGAAGGTACAAACCATATTGCAGTTTCCATCCCTTTTTATATTCATTCTGTTACACTATAATCATTCGTCATGCCCCGAGAAGCAGAGCCGTCATTAAGCGAGCGGACATTTACCCTCCAGGCGATCAGCGAGGGACTGCGATTAGACGGTCGAAAACTCGATGAATTTAGACGCCTAGAGCTCAGTTTTGGGGATGAATATGGCGTAGCAGATGTGAAGCTGGGGAAAACAAGGCATGTTCAATGTGCAACCATGGCTTGGTGATGGATTGCAATTGCTAACACTTGTTGCTCAGAGTGCTCGCCAAGGTATCAGCAGAGGTCACAGTCCCCTTCGCAGACCGTCCCTTTGACGGCATCTTCCAAATCACCTCTGAGCTCGGCCCCATGGTCGCCCCCTCGTACGAAGTCAACCGGCCAACGGAAACCGAGGTGCTCCTCGCCCGCCTCCTGGAGAAGACGATCCGGCGGTCGGGCGCCCTGGACACGGAATCGCTGTGCCTGGTGGCCGGCCAAAAGTGCTGGTCCGTCCGGGTCGACCTGCACGTGCTCTCCGCCGACGGCAACCTCATCGACAGCGCGTGCTTCGCCGTCGTCGCCGCGCTGCGGCACTTCCGCAAGCCCGACACCAGCATCGAGGGCGAGACGCTGACCGTCTACACGCCCGCGGAGCGCGAGCCCGTGCCGCTGAGCTGGCTGCACTCGCCCTTTTGCGCGACGTTTGACTTTTTCGGCGACGAGGGCGACATTGTCGTCGTGGACACGACGTGGCTGGAGGAGCAGCTGCGGGTGGCCAGCTGCACGTTCAGCCTCAACAAGCACGGCGAGATATGCCAGATTTCCAAGCTCGGCGGCAGGCCCATAGAGGCTACGCTGGTGATTCAGTGCGCGCAGATGGCGCTGGCCAAGGTCAAGGAGTTTACGGATCTGCTGGATGCGAAGCTGGCGGAGGATGCCAAGAGGAGAGATAAGGGTGGTTTGATGGCTGAGCTGTCTGCGGAGAATGAGAGATGAGAAGGACACAAGATTCCAGGAGGGGGGTGAATTAGATCTATCTTTCATGACGACCAAAGGTATAAAAGAGTACTGAAAAAGCAAATAGAAGAAGCAAGATGCTTGCATGATACCCCAGCACGGAGAGATCTCCTCTGACGATGACCAAAAATGATGTCTCTGCTGATAGATTGCACTCGGCTTTCCCGTCGCTTTGACAATATAAAGCCATGATGGCAACTAGATGATGAGAAAAGCAAAGCGACCGACCTCTATCCAACCCAAGAGAAAGAGAGAAAAAGAAAAAAAAAAAAAAAAAAAGAGGAGAAGAAGAGAAAACGCCTCGAAACACCTCCAGACACACAAGGCAATTGCCGCTCGTAGCCCTTGCACGTAAGAAATTTCAAAACGCAAGAATCCGTCGCTACCTCATGACGGGCGGCCGCGACTCCTTATTCCACTGGACCCTCGTGCGCACCCAGTCAATGGCCTCGCGCACGCCCTCGCCCGTCAGCGCGCTCATGGCGAGGACGCGCGAGTCGCGGATGGCGGCGCCCTTCTCGCCCTCCATGACGCGCTTGACGAGGCCTTCCTTGATGCGGATGGTCTCGACGCAGTCCTCGCGGTCCTGCTTGTTGGCGAGGATGAGCAGCGGCACGCCCTCGGTCTCGGAGTGCTGCAGGACGTCCTCGAGGACGAGGCGGCACTCGTCGAGGCGGCCCGTGTTGTTGTCGTGGGCCAGGTCGCCGTCGCCAATGTCGGTGCTGTCGATGATGAAGACGATGGCGTGGCAGCTGGCGTAGTAGCTCTGCCACAGCTTGCGCAGCGAGTGCTGGCCGCCCACGTCCCACAGCTTGAGGTACATGTCGGGCAGGGTTATGGTCGAGACGTTCTGGCCGACGGTCGGGACCGTCTTGAGCTTGGGCTCGGGGGCGTTGGGGAGGTACATGGACTTGACCTGCTCGTGGAAGGTTGTCTTGCCGGCATTGTCGAGGCCGAGGAGGATGACGGAGTACTCTGCGCCCGCCGTTTGGGTCAGCTGTGATGGAGGACAGAGAGAGAGAGAGAGAGAGAGAGAGAGAGAGAGAGAGACGAGATTCTAGGTAGTGGGCAAGCTCACCTTCTTTGCTGGTTGCGAGGAGATAGAGGCCCTTGGCAAGGTGGTACATTGTTATAGGTGGAAGATGGATATCGCAATCATACCGTTGCTTGGTGTTGCTGCTGGGTTGTGTGAAGAGCTCATGCAAGGGTGTTGTACGTAGGGCGGGAGAAACAATGATGGGGGTGTTTGTTGGCCTTTGGCTGTGTGATTGTGTGTGTAGCAATTTGCAGTCGAGACGGAGCTTTGGAGGAGATGAAGTTGCAGATCATGGCCCGTCAGCCGCGCAAAGCCCGTGCAGCTGGTGGTTCTACGAGCCGCCAGGCCCCCCGGAGGAGCGTCTCCCCACCCCGCGTCCAACCCCGAACAGCCCCGCCAACGCTGCAGAGATGAAGATGTTATTGATATACTACATAAGAACCCCGTAGGTGAGGCTGGTTTGATACCTACCTTTATTATATTCACATATGCACAGATGACAAGAGGCGTAACATCTTTTTGATTTTCATTCTGGGTTGGGGTCAAGTAACATGGACAGCTGGCTTCTTTGATTAGAGGTACCGTGGTCCATCTCTCCGGGATTCGTCTCATCTCAGGTCAGTACGTACCTACTAATGCAGAGAGGATATTGAGGTACCAGAGATTAATCCACGTCTACATAGCATATCGTATGGCAATATAGCAGATATCTTTGACTGCTTGCATACAAGACCGAGGCCACTGAACGGACGGCCAAGCAAGTTCCGTCCTCCGTTTTGGCTTATAACGCCCACTCGATGTTGAATCAATGCGGCAAACCAGTACTATGTACATGTACCTTATCCACTACCACCCCTTTGCTACTACCTACCATGGTCACCTCAGGCGAGGTACTAGAAAATGGAAGCCAAATGCACCTATGCTCTAAATGATGTTTTCTATATTCAGCCTCGTCTCTTCGTCTCTTCTAATTGCAGCATATAATATATCGCCGTCGCGCCCAGTTCCACGTAAAGGCATCCGGAAACAACAGCCTCAACCCACTATTGCCGGCCTCGTCATCGCAAACATTAGGTCGTACATGTACTCGTAGGTCAGTCGGGTCCAGTTGCAGCGATTGATCCACTGGCCCGTGCCAATTACAGGGCTTGGAGCGCTGTCGCATCGCTACCAGACACGGCCGACAGGCACCTGCACAACATCCATCAGCAACCGCCAACAGCCAACGTTCAACCTGCAACATACACATCAAGCATTACACAGCCCTCGCCCAGCTTTCCCACCTCGAGCAGAGCGCACGACTCCATAATCTGCTCTCCTGCTTCTCGCCATTCGCATCGATTCCGGCCAAATCAGCGCGACGCTACAGACCTGATCCGCAGTCTCATGCCCGCATCGTCTCGCTTGCGCCGCAGGCCTCGCGCATGCTCCCCCGTCTGACCAACCCAAACTCCCTCGATCGTGTCCACGTCCAGCCTCGAGATTGCGCATCATGGCCTCCACGGCCGCCGCAGAGCTGGCCAAGCTGGGCTTCAGCCTCTTACGTATGTCTCCGAGAACAACATCGCGCAGTGGACTGTTATGCTGACCTCGACGTGCAGGGCGAGCGACAGATGAGGAGGACCCTGAAGGTAACGATTGCCCACGACGACGATGAAGAAGAGGCAGAGGAGGAGATATACGAACATGAACAACAACAGGAAGAGGAGGAGGGGATCAAGTTCCAAACTACCAGGAGAATACATTGCTGACTACGGAACGCTTCAGAGGGCGACTCCGCGGAAAAGGAATTCTTCGCAGCATGGGCGCTCTTCATCTCCATCATGCTGCTCATCATCGCCTTCTTCACCAGCTACATGCTGCAGCAGAAAAAGGTGACTGCGATCCACGAGACCGTCATCTCCATCTTTGCAGGTATGCCTCGAACACACCTTGCTCACTTCCAAGACGTGCGCTGACATTGCCACGCCCCAGGCATGGTTGTTGGCCTTATCCTGCTCATCACCTCGGGCGACTCCATCCGCAACCTCATCAGCTTCGACTACCAAATCTTCTTCAACCTCCTCCTCCCGCCCATCATCTTGTCGTCCGGATACGAGCTGCACCAGGCCAACTTCTTCCGCAACATTGGCACCATCCTGACGTTTGCATTCGCTGGCACCTTTCTCTCCGCCGTCGTCATAGGGCTGATCTTGTGGATCTTCAACCTGGTCCCTGGCTCTTTGGAGTTGACGCTGGTCGATGCTATTTCCGTCGGCGCAACGCTCTCCGCCACCGATCCCGTTACCATCTTGGCCATCTTCAACACGTACAAGGTCGACCCCAAGCTGTACACCATCATCTTTGGCGAATCGATTCTCAACGACGCCATTGCCATTGTCATCTTCGAGACGGCGCAAAAGTACAACAAGGGTGAGGCCAACTACGGCATCATCAGCTTCTTCGAGGGTACCGGCATCTTCCTGCTCGTCTTCTTCGGCAGTTTGCTCATCGGCGTCATTGTCGGTGTCGGCACCGCTCTTCTGCTCAAGTTTACCTATGTGCGAAGATTCCCCAAGATTGAAAGCTGTCTGATTATCCTGATCGCCTACGCCACCTACTTTTTCTCACATGGCCTTCACATGTCTGGTAAGCATTGCCCAGCTGCGAATCACGAGAGGCTCTCCTAATTATGTGCCTCCAATCTAGGTATCGTGTCGCTCTTGTTCTGCGGCATCACACTCAAGCACTATGCCTACTTCAACATGTCGAGGCGGACCCAGCTCACAACAAAGTACATATTCCAAGTCATGTCGCAACTTTCTGAAAACTTCATCTTCATCTACCTGGGCCTGGCTCTCTTCACCGACAATGCTCTACAGTTTGAGCCCCCTCTGATCATTGTCACCATCTGCGCCGTGTGCGCTGCTCGATGGGTCGCCGTCTTCCCCCTTTCCAAAGCCATCAACTGGTTCATCCGCTATCGCGCGAGGAGGAGAGGCCTGGAGGTCGGCGATGAGCTTCCCTACAACTACCAAGCCATGCTATTCTGGGCTGGCCTTCGTGGTGCTGTCGGTGTAGCTCTGGCAGCCCTGCTCACGGGCGAGAACTCATACGCCCTTCGTGCTACCGTCTTGGTTGTTGTGGTCTTGACGGTCATCATCTTTGGCGGAACGACTGCCCGTATGCTGGAGATTCTCGGTATCCGCACCGGAGTGGTGGAGGAGATTGATAGTGACGACGAGTTTGACATTGAGTCGTTCGGCACCGGCCTTCATGTTAAGCGCTCCGGCTCCGCCATCGGCTACAACCCTCGTCGCAACGGCACCGTCGCCCTCAACAACCTCAGCGCTCCCAGAGACGGCTCCGCAGCCTACGTGTCCGGCACCTCGTCTCCCCACACGGGTGTCCGGCCGAGCAGCCTCAGCCGCAAGAACTCCCTCCGCAACCCTACCGAGACGGAGCGCGCTGATCTGCTGCGCGGCGCCAACGAAGATTCTGACATTGGCAGCGACATTGACATCTCGGACTTGCCGCCCCCCGCGAATCGCCGCTCGCCCCGGGCGCCCGTCAGTCCGAACCCGCCGGCAGAGGGAAGCGCGTTTATGAGTCCAGCTGAGCCTTCGACGTCGTCGACGCCGATTACCTCGGCGACGGGAGCGATACGGCAGTTGCTTTCTACAGAGGACCCGGCGAGCCTGTTCAAGCAGCTGGACGAGGACTTTATCAAGCCGCACCTGTTACTCCACGGCGATGGAGGGAGAGGGGGCGGATCAGGGGCTGTGTAGTAAGGGGGAAAGGAAAGGATTCACTTATAGACGGGAAAGCTTTTTCATCTTTTGTCCTTATAACATTCGTCGAGATTGTCCAGCTTCTTCTTGTCCAGAGTAGTGTTCGAGGTTTGTTTGGGTTTTCTGGGAAGTATAGGATGCTATGCATATCATACCCCTCGGCGTTTTTGGCTTTTCGACGAATAGAATGGATAGGAAATTCCTTGCCTTTGGTTCTGTCGCTACTCGTGGTTGTAACATTTTCTCATTAACTATTGATCATGGTTCTTTGCTCACGACCTATCGCCCGTCTTATGTTTCTCACAATATGTTGCTCATGCTTTCTTCGCTCATGTTTCATCACAACATCACACAGTTCCCCATCACGGACATCATAGAAACCGGGAGGCATATTGTAGGTTGACAACATGATTAGGGCACCCTCAGGCCACAAAAGCCCTCCAGATCTCAATTCTTTCATTCATTCATACATATCACGATCCCCCCGCTGAACCACTCCACCAATTCTCAATCCACAGTGCCATGCTCATCTTCATCTTCTTCTTTTGTTTTTGTAAGAATGGCGAATATGCTATGTACAGTAATTCTTTACAAATCAACGATTGCCGCCCGGCCCCCCTTGCCTTGTCTTGCCCTTTTTGCCCTTGCCGTACCCGCCCCTGTGTCCGCTTTACCAAGTAATAGTACCTCTTTGAAAAAAGAAGAAAAAGCACACACGGAATCAGAGCCCCCTCATTTTTGTTTGATTCTTCCTTCTTGAGTAGTTCTTCTTCTTCTGTTTTTTTTTCTGCCTGCCTGCTATTGCAGAATAGGGCTGGTAACAAGAGGAAGAGAGGGAGTTAGATTTGCCAGCACACAGCGGTCCTTACGATCTGTAGTCCCCCTTGTTCTAGCAATTAGATAAGGAGACGGAAAGAAGAAGAAGAAAAGAGCTTCATGTGACCCCCTTGTCAAAGCCAAGATTAGAACAGATAGAAGGGATTTTTGAAGACGCAAATGGGGAAATCAAGAGAGCATCTAACGTAAAACGCAAATCGACCGCCGACCCAGACCCCTCCCCTTAGCCCATTACCGCTGAACACCTCGAAAACGTCGTGAAACGCATAGATGGAAAAGACGAAAAAGTCATGATGAATAGCACTGACTGAAAGAAAATAGCGTACAACGTGAGAGACATTCAGAAACGCTGGGTCATCATTTTCCTGCCGAGGGCGTCGCGCTCCCGCTGGCCTGGCGCTGAACGGGTGCCGGGCTTCCAGCGGGTGGATGGGATGGTATCTGAGGCGAGGCTTGAGCTTGCGACTGCGGCTGGATCTGCTGC